TTTATAGTCCTTAGAACTCCTATTCTCTTCGAATATTCTTGATCTGGGACGCTTCCTGAGCAATACCGGCGTGCCTTACCGGAGTAACTCTTTTACTAGCTTCTGCATCGTAATAACTTCTACGAGAGCTTGAGATTTCTGAATAACTTCGCCCTTTCGTTGTGCCCCCCCTATCCCACTTCTTGAACAGACAATTTAGGTTCACGTCGTAAACTTGACAGTCCCTGGAAAAGGGTATGTGATGGGCTTGTACAGCAACAACAATGACACAAGGTGAGGCTTATTGTATTTCTCAGTTGGAAATTTCAAAAAATAGAAGACCAACTACTTCAAGAGAAATCCTTGATTTCCAGCTCGCAAGTGAACGTATTCATGTACGCCATCGAGAAGACTGAAAACGGCGCTTCCCGTGTCTATTTCGTAGTGCCTGAAGGAGACGCTGGACGAGTTTTCGTCATCGATCATAAGTACGGTCGAATATACTTTGACTTAAAACCCCAACAACTCCCCAATCCCTATTCAGAAATCGAAGGGTAGCAACGCAGAATCTGAAAACTGGCAACTTCATCGACATCCGACCGCGTTTCTTCGACAGTGGCGAGTATATGCTTTACTACGGCAAGGACTGTTATGACAATTCGTGTCCCAAGAAAATTCCATTTAAGGTAAGTAATTCAGTAGATTGCCAGATTGTAAAAAAAAAGATGGAATGTAGAGCCATTCTGCAAAAGAAAGAGTGGGTAAGAAGTCTCCAGCGGTAAAAGGGTTTTGTTAATAGAACCTAGCCAGATGAGGTGGTATTTCTTACATCGATTCCAATATTGAGCACAACTTGAACTGAGGGTCTCAGCTCTTACCAATTCATAATTCCCGGAAACTTCGATTATACCGAATTTAGATGGCAGGACTGTTTTCCTCCCCTTATCATGCTCCTGTTGACCATAACCAGGACCGTCCATCTGAGATTCGAGTTCTTGCAATTTTTCAAACGAAAACTCAGTGAGAACTCTCGGACCTCCATTAAAAAATATAAGATCCAGTTGGCTATCATATGGGGCTGAAAAACTTCATTAAAGGCTACAAATGCCTTCGGACCAGTTCAGGGTGCACTCCGAACGCCTTATAGAGTAGCCGTCATTCATGAACATTAATATGCTTGGTAGCAGAAAGAATTATTGCTCTGAGAGACAACTTCCCGATAAGCGGATACTGGTACACTACTGCATTGTAGCTGGCGACCACAGAGGAGTCATCCTGGCATGAATGTGAGCGCTGAGCGAGATCAGTGAAGATTTACTTATTTATTTTTCGATCTCTGTGAAGGTCTGTTTGTGACTGAAGCGAACATGGTCTATCAAACGGCTGTGTAAATATTTATATGCAACGACATACGACATATGTATGGGGAAGGGAATCGTCAGATAGAAAACAGACTGCCCGTGCTGTGGGTGAGCTGTCAGCAGCGACGAACCTAGGTATCGAACTATAGCGCGACTGACGCACTCAAATGAGAAGAGTGAAACAGGCATTTTTATTAAATGAGAGTGTTGTTATGAGAGTCGGAGTTAACAATTTCTTTAGTTTCGCTCCTGCACTCAATAGAAACACCTAAAAGGATAAAAGATGAAGTAACTTCGTCTAGGTTGTATTAGCCTTCGAGGTTTTTAAGAAGTCTTTATACGTTAATCAAACCCGTCTGAGGGATGCGCCCCGAATCCGACTCTCGTTCAGAATCGTAGTGCCGGATTGAATGCGCATGTGGCCTAAACAATGACTTGCGGTAGCCAGTCGATGCACAAGTCAGTGCCTCTATCCTCCCAGATGAATCTTGGACCAATTAACCGACCGCGGAGAGATGGAAGGCTTGGTTGGCCTAGATATCGAGGGAAAACTCTAACCCGCGACAGTGAATGCGATTTTGTGCGCCATCCGCTTGCCATAACACCAACTCCGCCCAAAAACACTAATACAACACACAACCCAGCGGACTCATTTCTGAGATTTTCAATGGCTTTGTCGCTTCACTTTTTAAATGCCCCTAAACTATCCTACTACCCCTTCCTCCAATCCTTGTAACAGTACACAAGGATCTTCTAACTTTGTTTGAAACTCAGGTTTAAAGGTAGCGTACACAAGTGATAAATGCGTTTTTACGAATTGAACGCAATCCTTCATTCATGAGATCGGTGGTGATCTTGTCATCCGAGCCAGTCATGGTCAAGACAATTCTTTTATCCTCCCAAAGGAGACTTGTATCAATCCACAGGTGCGTAAGTGATGGGAGTCATAGAGGGTAGAGAGGTATGGATACGGATCCGATCTTAGCACCACAGGGAAAACGTCTAAACAGCAAAAAAATTGGTAGCGTAAGGACGACGAACGCGATATTTGGCAAGAAAGGTACCTGCCTAAGTTCCATCCAAAACTAAGGGTTTTGACCACATTTTGCCAACATTTTATGAAGACTTCAATGAACTTTTTCTGTTGCGTTTTCTTCCGAAAAACAAAAAATTATCGTAAGTAGAACTACGAATAAGTTGTCTAAGAAACTCCCTTCGAGGTATCCAGTCCCTTAACCAAAGAATTTTCATATGTTCATTTTCTTTTTTCACTGTAGGTTACCTCTCACTGAAGATTCCCTAGTCGCACGNCGTTCATCACCGGTGTTTGTCTTGAACTCAAAAAAGAATGATTTTTCCTAGCTATTTCTTCTCTCAGCAATCCAACAACCCAGGATGGAGATGTAATCTGGGAGCGCATCTCAAGACGAGATTAACGAACGTCAAAAAATTTTATCCCTTCTAACTTCCAACACATTACTAGACGCAACAATCATTTTGTTCCAGCTAAATCGGCTCCCCTTCCTGTACCTATTTTCGCATTTTTAATAAGTTTCGGTATGCGATCATGGAAGAGGTCAGTTTTCTCGTAGTTGTACAGGATTCCTTGGTGGCTCTTTCGGTATTCAAGGGAACAAAAAGATGTGGTTTGTACTTTTTGACTATTTAGTTCGATGGCAGAACCAATAAACTGAACCCTTTTGAAGTGCATCCCCAGTTTTTTGACAGAACTTGGTCGTAGGGGATCAGGCAGTCTTAAGACAACCTGGGGACCGCCACGGTATTTTGGCTTGAATTGCGTGACTGCTATTGAACCTCTTTCTGGATTATTTGCATCTCCCCCGGAAAATGTGTGATAAGATTTTTTGACAAAGTTTTTTCTGTTGGAGGAGTCGTGGTTTTACTTAGCTAAAATTCGGAAAATGCTCATTTGATTGAAAGGTTTGTAGCCACGAATTTCCAAAAGAATTTTCAAAATGTAGCGGCCTACCATGACGATGGGAAGTACGCGCCATCAGTGCCCACCACCAACCACCAAATTGGGCCGTCGATTCTCCCCTTTGTTTCACAAGTGACCATCAATCACAGTGAAGATACTCAATGCAATTTGGTCCAGGAAAAAAACCAAGATGACCGGTGTCGTCTCCTGGCAGTAACAGGAGACTGTGGAGTGAGGAGGAACATCAGTGGGAAGAAAAAGGTAAAGATGTTGAAGTAGCCGAATGGAGCCTTACCTTCGCCCTCAGTTGTGACTTTAGCTGGTTGGCTTCCCAGTGCGTAGCACAGACTTCATGTTTTCAAGTACACACTTCTCTGCCTCTTTCGTATTTCCTAGTTGTAAAAAGGTAAAGAAGAAGAGGACGGCGTCAACATATCCAAGTCCTTCTATTCTTTCTAACCTAAGAAAACAAAATCGACAAGTTGAAGCACATCGATAAGTTGTAGAACGGCTACCAGTTAGTTCGTTCAACAAAAACTATCTCTGGCGCCATACATTTCGATCGAGCTGGTATTGGTTCCGAGAAACCTTCCAAACCACCTCAACGATTTTTTTTTTGTTCTATAGAATACTCAGATCGCAAGAAACCCGCTGGGTGACCACAAACCGCGATGTTTTTCATCGGCGAATATCGTTTTCATATATTTCTCTCATCAACTATGATACTTGTTTTCTACTTTCTCACGCAAGATTTCCCATTCCAGGCCGCAATGGGTTCGGTGAGAGTTTTGCACGTGCACGACAACACAATGGAAAGCGATTACCATGAATTGGTTGGTACTGTTATTCATTCACTACGGCTGTATAAATTTGATCATTTAGGTACGTCCTAACACGGTGTCGATCCTGTGGGTGCTGCCGCAATACTTCGTCATCACCCTCGGCGAAGTCCTGCTATCGGTTACCGGCTTAGAATTCGCCTACTCTCAGTCAGCGCCCAACATGAAGAGCGTCCTACAGGTGCTTAATGGCCTCGATTACCTAACAACCGGTATTTTTCCGGTCCGTATTTCCACAGTTCGATTAAAATACCCTTCTTGTTTAAGGCCCTTTGGCTTCTTACGGTGTTCATGGGCAATGTGATCGACATGGGCATCAGTGGTACCCATATCATTCCCGAACCGGCTACCGAGTTCTTCTTTTACGCTTTTCTCATGATACTCGTAATGGGAATTTTCATTTTACTAGGTACGGTTTGCTCACAGTATGATATCATTTACAGTTTATGATGGTCTGCTTTTAGCCTGTCGGTACACCTACGTGGAAAACGGAGAGGAGGTGCAACCGACGCAGAAAAAAGAGCATGTCATCTCTGAGGACACCACTTGCTAGCCCTCCTGTAATCCTTAACGACTCAACATTCCAACGCTTTATTCCACACAGTATCTTTTATTTCACACGTGACCATAATCTCTTTGGAGAAATTCAATGCAAACCGTCTGTGAAAAAAANAAAAAAAGAGCGGGATAATAGGCGAAATCCCCGGGCAGTGGCAGAAGATGACGGGATTCGGAGGAGCAGCTGCTGGAATCGCCGTAATAAAGAGTAGATTATGCGTAGACCTTCTAATTATAATATACATGCCTAGAAACTAAGTCGAGCAGTCCCCAGACTCAAGGATCTCATCTGAGACGCACTTACAGTCACAGTTCGCCATTATTATGTTGTTGCAAGTTGTAATCATAGTTGTTGATATACACAAATGTACATAAATATGTCTTTACAAATGCGAATTGTGAAAACATCTGCCGCAGAGGCCAGAAATGAACTGGGCTGTACTACACCAGTATGGCAGTGTGGGCCTAGCAGTTCCTCGAAGACGAGGCTCTTCAACTATTCGATTTCTATTTCTTATTTTTCAACTGAAAATCATGATTTTTTCAAAAGTCATTGAGCTATTAATATATGGCTACGATACAAGTTCATGTGCAGCCCTAAATCGATGACCGATGGTAAGGTGGTAGGCAACTTCGCGAGTATGAATGCCTTTCACGATTATTGACAATGGCTGCTTTCAAACTTCGACGTCCGTCCGTCCGTCCGTTCAACGCGTGCTGCGACGGCGGTTCTAGAAGGATGTTGACAACACTAGATCACGTGCCAGCGCTGTCAACACCTTTCTAGAACCGCGGTCGCTTCACGCATGTGACCGCTGTCGCGGCAAGCGTTAAACTGACGGACGGACGTACGTCGAAGTCTGAAGGCAGCCAATGAGTCTTGCCTACGTGCACCTGCAAACGTCGTCCTATTGTTCGAAGTAATCATGTGCATCACCTGTCACCCCACTCATCGATCTCTTTAAGCGGGTGACAGTAACGCCTCATTAGTCCCTGTAGTGATAGATGGTCTTTTCTTACAATTAGAGGACACGAGGCATAGCACTCCTCCTGTGAAGAAGCCTGACTTGTGGTGGCAGCTGTTCATATAATGTCTCGATGGTTATAGTCTGTGATCGAACTGATCATCGCAAAATCGCATGGCGTATTCGGCCCATCCGATCTTTAATACCTTGGCGACAACATCCGAAGACCTTTGATCAGGAGCTAAGCAGCTAAAACAGTACCCGACTGCATACTGACTTGTTTCCTCAGTGGTCATGATGTTTGTATCTGAGACATGTTAGGCTGTTAGGCTTTTCGAATCGCCCGCTTAACAGCCCCGAAGGATCGGAACAATTAGTGACTTCTACGTTCGGTCTTCTTGAAGCCTGGGGGTCCGGGAACTTCTCCCCTAACACGGCGTCGCACACGCCGCACCCGCCGCCTATCGCAGGATTGCGATGGAAGATTGGAGCGCGCAATTTGTGAGGTGGGGAGTCCTTTAATTATTTGAATTGGCTGGCCGCTCTTTTCAATTCCAATGCGGTCTTGATCGTCGTCTATATAGGAGGAGTCATTTTAATTGATCAAGCCTAATAAACATGAAAACTGAAAGGAAACAGAGGAAAAAACGATAAAATCCAATGAAAAAGCAAGCCAGTCAAGGAAAAATATCGCGTCCAATCGATTGGCGGGAGGCGGGGTGAGTACGGTAATTGCAGTGATATTTGCCGCATGCCGCAAGGGAGAATGCCGCGATAGGGGAGAAGTTCCGTTACCCTGAAGCCTGGGCATTCTACATAATGTTTTATACTGCCGTGCAGATTTGTTATGGCTGAACCGCTTTATTGGTCAACATTTCGACTAAATCGTCCTCTTCAGGACCTGAAAGTGATTCAAACCCAGCAGAGTGACCAAATTTTGCGGTTCCGCCAGCGTTACGCCCCACTCAGTGTGGACAATAAGGGACCAATGGCTGCTTTCATAGTCCGCCGGCGTGCGTGCCGGCATGCAGAGGCAGTGCCAGGGGAGTGGAGGGACGCAGACGATCGGTCAGCCCCTTCGAAGGGCTAAAACAAAGAAGAACAAGATCAAAAAACAAACAACCAGGGTTTGTGCGAATGGCTTTTAATCTTGTCTCTCCTTTTTACAGCCCTTCGAAGGGGCTGACCGACCGCCTGATTCCCTCCTCTCCCCTAGCACTGCCTCGGCACGCCGGCACGCCGGCGGACTGTGAAAGCAGCCAATGAGGCACCATTGATAATCGTAAGAATTATGATCGCCCGCGTAATTCTTACTTTACGATCATCAAATGTGTCTCATTGGTCCTTTGTTAGTCATATAGAGTGGGACGGCACTTTGCTGGGAGCTTTTCCGAATTTAGTTTCCAGGAGTTGTCGCAACTTACCGAGTGCATTTTGGCGGTTTGTGGGGTAAGCCACAGGTCAGAAGTTTCAAACTATTGTCAATTCCTGAAGACGACGGAATGTTGACCAATAAAACGGTTCAGGCATAACAAACCTGTACGGCAAAGCAGTGTTGAACAATTTATGACTATCCGACAAAGGCCGAGGCTGAGATGGAGGCTGATTTCCTTAGTCCCACTAAAATTTGGAACCAACAGGACACACACGTAATTTGAAGGAGGGTCATCGTAGTTCGGGACTTTTGCGAAAAAACCCAGCAACTGATGGGCGGCCGACCACTGTCCGTTGCGATATGTCTTTATCTAAATTTCTGTGGACAGGACAACATTATATAGGCCGTGGCTGTCGATTTCTACCTTCTTTTTCCTCCCAAGTGCATGTGTTGGACATGCATGGTGTGTAGTGAATATTAGCTCGGTATCCTGCCCATCGATTCGGTCAAAACTTGCGTTCGAGTGACCGGGAGGTAAATGAGTGACCGATTCAGTACCGCCACCATTTAATAAGCCCGCGATCACTCTGGAATAGCCTGGCTAGCTAGGATCCTATCCAGCTCCCAATAGGCCCTGGGAGTTGTGCTAGTTGTGGGTACCCACACACTGAAAACGGTTATGCAAATTACCTTCATTCTCCTGAGCCTGAAGAAGCCCTCAATACCGCAGCATTGGGTTTGATCGAGAAGCTGCTACAATCGCAAGGCGTTGAGAGACTGCTCATAAGAAAAAGAGATAGGATTGCGATCTGTACTTCTAACGCATGAGCGCTTGCCTGCGTACATGGGTGCGAGCGTACACTCTCGATGCTTTATTATGCAAGCTAGGAAAACCGAGTAAGACGTCATCGGGCTGATTAGGACGAGACGTTATTGCCCTCTGCAAGTCGTTTATGTAGCTGGAGGAGAAATTCCCTCTGAAAACTGCGACAGTCGGCGTCGGCGGTAATGTTGTCCTCGTCGACACGCACTTGGCCATGAACATCAATTAGTACGAAAGCTTGACAACTCGAATCGGACGTGTGCGATTGAAGAGATGTGCTCGATCCCCGCTCTAACAATCTTCGTTGTCTCCATCATTAAGCTACGAAGAAGAGGAGCTGGAAGCGTTTTGCATAGACTTGGGCAAACTTTTCGGAGGAGTCCATACTTCCTTCAAGGTCATCGTCGGTGACTTCAACGCCAAGTTTTGGTCTAGAAGGCCGGCTAAATTTTACGCTGTGCATTCGTGGAATGGGATGAAATGAGCAGTGCTGTCCGATTTTATCATGCCGCCCCACACTAGTTGCAACTCCAGGCACCCTTTCATTCGCTATGGACTTGAAAGTTACCCAGTAGACGGTTCCACGGTAACGGAAGTTTTCTCCGATTGCGGCATTCTCCCTTGTGGCATGCGGCAAATGTCACTGCAATTACCGTACTCACTCCGCCTCCCCGCCAATCGATAGAGTGCAGTATTTCCCGTTGATTGCCTTTCTTTTTCATTAGATTTGATCGTGTTTTTTTTTCTTTTTCGTTTCTATGTTTATTAAATTTGATTAATTAAACTGACTCCCTACATTATATTAGCGGCGATCAAGACCAATGGAATTGAAGAGAGCGCTCAGCTAATTCAAATAATTTGAAGGACTCACCAATTGCGCGCTCCAATCTTCCATCGCAATCCTGCGATACTCGGCTGGTGCGGCGTGCGCGATGCCGCTTTCGAGGAGGAGATTCCGGACCCACGGTTCCATTATGAAATCGACCACATCATCTACAATTGGAAGTTGCGCCTGATTGACGTCGCTGCTGTTCCGAAGTTCTGAATGATATCAAATGTGCGGGTGGTTCAGTGGTTATTATAAGGGCTCCGGTGATAACGGAGTAATGTTTAACAATTAAATAAAAGTGCGGACGTTACCGCTATAACACACAATAGCGGTAAACAATACTTCACTAGGCAGGCAACTTACATCTTGCTTTGAGGACTCAATGAAGAAGTGTGGACCCACTTATCTGGGGTCCGCTTGACCCGCACCATTGAGGGGTGTGGGTTCACTTACGGAGACGTTCCAGACGGTAAGACATCGATATAGTTATGGAGGTCGTTGCCATAGACGACGATATCAAAAGTTGCGCTTGATTGACGTCGCTGTTGTTACAAAATTCTGAATGGGACCAGACTATCGACTACTCCGCACTGGATTCTGTTTTTCAGCGCGTGGAGAGAGAGCTGCCAATTCAAGAACAAAACCGCATGACCATCACCTCCTCAGTTCGCTTTTCTTGCGAGTTTTTGGAAAGATTCCGTAACAACAACAACAATGAAGAATAGAAGCAGGCCAGTGAACATTTTCACAATGGAGTTAGGTGAGCAGGGAGTATTGAGTATTTAATAAACGTCTTTCTTTAAGAACTCTTCAACTGATACGATGGCAACGATTCGCAAATAATTCTTTTCTTTTCACTTATTCACGCCGATATAAATTATCATATAAGGAATTGATTGCAATTATGACGTCAAAATTGAAGAACTCCTCTGCCACCCTTCCATCTCTCCAGGAACTGGCATGACAGGCAGCTCGAAATGGCATATAATATAAGAATCTAATC